AAAAAAAAAAAAAAAAAAATATCAAGGAAAGGAAGAATACTTTCACAAAGCGGCGGTATACCCATCATGATTACAAACATTATCCTATCTCTTCAGGGAGTTTACTACTTGGAAAAAAACCCCATATTAGGAAACATGCAACAGGGCGGAAATAGGCCTTTGGATTTTTTTGTCGAAACGACGAGTGGACACAGCCGATCTCGATAGCTGCATAATCCTTCGACGCTGTAAGGTCTTTTCGTCCTTTATGCTTCCATATCCAATTCTGTCGCATTATTTTTTTTTTCTATTTCCCCCATCGTCTGCGAGTGTGTTCCTCCCATCTATCATCTGCTTCCTCTCTACACTCCCCACTCCCATTATTTTATAAACGTCGTTTGTATTGTGTATTTTAGCTTTGAGAAATTACTTCACGACCAGATTCATTGAAACACAGTACTGTTTGACGCAATATCCATGCCTTGTGTCCGTATTTCGTCTTAGCCAGAACGCTGTCGCTGTCGCTGTCGCTGTCGCTGTCACATCTTTCTTCGAGTTCGCGTTGGTTTAACACGGCGCGACCCAAAAATAAATAAATTTTGAAAAAACCACGATTTAAAGCATATTATATAGATGGAGTCTTCAAAAAAACGTAATATTAACCACAAGGTTTACATCCAGTAAAGCTTCAATCAGTGCGATTCTGTAATTGACAATGAAGTTGTTCGCGTTTGGGTTTCTGGCCTTGCTATGGCTGGTTGGGTGTAACGCTCACACAGTGCTGCTTCCAGCTCACGGGCAGCGTTGTTTTTATGAGACCTTGAAATCGAGAGACGAGCTGGCAATCTCGTTCCAGTTCGGCGATAGATCTCCAGACTCAACAGACCAGATGACAGGGGATTTCATGGTGTATGGTCCTAATAGACGTGACATTCTCAAGGAAGAAAGAGACGTTTCCCATGGGGATGTTCGAATCAGCGTTCCACAGGACGGCAAGTTTGAATACTGTTTCTCGAACGAAAGATCAGGTGTGACCACAAAAGATGTGACTTTCAACATAGAGGGCATTGTGTATGTGAATGAGAACGATCCCAAGGCAGACTCGCTAGATGGCGCCGTAAGACAGCTATCGAGATTGACACGCGAATTGAAAAACGAACAGAGCTATATTGTCATCAGAGAAAGAACACATAGAAACACCGCTGAGTCAACCAACGACCGTGTCAAGTGGTGGTCTGTTTTCCAGCTCTTTGTCGTGATCGTCAATTCGTTGTTCCAGATCTACTACTTGAGACGTTTCTTCGAAGTGACCTCATTTGTGTAAAGCTAGTGTTCAAATTATATACCGAATATCATACGAGCCTAAAAAAAAACAATACAACAAAGCGATGGCTATGAATCGTAGTCTTGTGTAGTTATACCAGGTTATCAACACTAAAGTTCTTGTCTCTGGGCTCACTTTCAAAGTCAGAGTAGCAAAAAATAAAATGCCACTTCCTAGAATCGAACCAGGGTTTCATCGGCCACAACGATGTGTACTAACCACTATACTAAAGTGGCTTCTTACGATGGTTCGGAAAACTCAAGCAATACATATACAGGTGAAGTAATCATCTGCTTTTGTTTTCCAGCGATATTCCGACACTAGTTTTAAAGATCATCTTCCTTCAAGTGAACAGTATTTAACGCAGGGCAGCGAGGCCCCCGCATTTGAATGAATTTACCCAATCCATGTCTTCTGGGCATTGTACTAACGATATCCACACATTCGGGGCCCCAAGTTGTGTATCACTACCCTCCTGTGGACATTCACTCATCGAGAAAGAAGAAAAAGCGAGAACTTGAACAAGAAGCTGCCAGTGCCGCTCAGAATAGTGCAGAATTTAGGGCCTCTAAACAAGATGGTCATTTGCAGAGAAAGAAATCTGTGAAGTCGGCGCATCATGAGACCGAGAGTGAAGCGAATTTTTCCATGCATTCTACAAAAACCGAAGAATTCGATACCCCTGAAACCAGTGATAGCTCCGATGAAAATACCAGTAGTGGTTTGAGTGACAGTGACATCTCCACAGACTATGCAGATGTATCTTCTGAATCAAGTTCTTCGGCATCGGACGATGAATATTCTGTGGGAAATGAAGACGTCAGTGGTCCAAGACTATCAATTGACAATAGTGATAGTCTTCAATCTTTGGGCAACTCACTCAAAAGTACGAACAATAGAGAACTTCATGCAGCTGCGAGTAGAGTTTTTCAATATTTGAGTCCCCAGGACTCAAAACGCAATTCTGTCGTTTCAAAGCATGCCTTGAGTCGAGAGCAGGAGGGGCCTTCTGTCAATTTAGACCAAGAGTCTGATGATGAGGCCGAAAATGCATATGAGCTCGATGACCAACATTTTGGCTCTGAATTCCAGGCCATCAACAAAATTCTACGCTTTGATACTGATTTTTTTGCTGAAATCAGCTCACCACCAAAGGAAATGTGCAACACAAGATTCGAGTTGTCGGTTGATGAACTCGTTCTTTTGGGACTCCCGATCCACAGAGATTTACAAGGCAGATGGAGAAAATCAAAAAAGAAAAAAAGTGGTAATCGTTCTCGACCTTCAAACTCCAGTCTCAGAGGCAGGAATGCATCACAGGCGCGATCTGCAACCTCGGAAGGGCACGATGATAATAACGACGCGTTTGTTGAATCGGGATCTACTCACACTGCGTCTGACAATCATAGCAACAAGGATGAGTATCGCGATCTCGAAAAAAGTGTCAATATGTTCCATTTATGCTTTCTTCTTAATCCTCAGCTTGTTGAGTACAATGAGAGAGTTGACGACATGTATCACTACGTGATCTCCAGACTGTCACTTATACTCCGATATGTTCAAGCTAGAACTGGATTTGTAACGAACGAATGTTTTGAAATCCTGAAGACCAGAGATCGCGTCTTAAAGTCCTCGCAGAGGTATCAGTCAATAAAGGGTCAAGGTAACAAGGGAAAGTACCTGTATCAGAAAATAGTGAATAAGTCTCCTCTGGCGCGCATCATCACTCAGTGTTACGATGCCATTTCGAGAAACGAAGTTGCGAGCTTAGAGATTGATGAAGACAAGATGATATCTCTACAGCTTCCTCTCAAAGATGAATTCAACGAATTGCCAGATGTCAAAGTAAATCCGGTTTTACCAGGCTCCTTCTTGACTTCCGTCCTGAACAACAAATTTCTGGAAAAGGACTCCAAAGATGAAATTCACGAACAAATAAGCAAATTCGAAGATGATGACGATCTATTAAACTACGCACTTCTTCTACTGAATGAGCCCATGGCTATAGTGCAAGAACTGCAATTTTCCTCGTTCCGCAATGATGCCACTTCAGTGATTTTGACGTCATTAGTCAAAAACCTGAAGCCAACAGTGCCCTTGCGAAGTTATCAATATATTGTCGACGAAGTTATGGGTGGCCCGAGCTCAGTAGACGGTGAGCGGGAAAAGTTAATTCGGACCAATCTGTTAAGGTCATTGGCTTTGCATTTGATGTATTGGCGCCACGCAAGGGTTATTATACCTCTATCATCAAAAAGCACGTACATCGTCTCCCCGCTTGCTCCTATCACTGGGTCGGTAAGACGACAGTCGAAAAATAGTGAAGTGCTTTCGACAGAAGACAAACCGCTTGTTTTTCAAAATCAAGATATCTTTGCCAAAAAGTTCCCGTCACTGCCCACACTTTCCTCATTTTTGAGTTTGATCTCCTCCTCAAAGCCTAGACCGTTCGGTGTATTCATACCGTCCAAGGATCACAAAAGTGTTTACCTCAATGCATTAAGCTGGCTGATCAGATACGGATATCTGACGCAGTTGCTCACATTTCTGTGGGTCCGCATTGACTCACGCATCAAAATAGCGGTTGATGAAGATCTTGAAAGGGATGGCGTTAAAAGAACTAACAGTTCTAGACAACTCAATACGATGGCTAACGACAACATTTCCCCAGCGGATCATGAAGACAATTTGCCAGATGAACCAGATTTTTATTACTATGAGGGAGACGAGGATGTGTTCAATAGAGCTGACTACACGATCATCCTGAACCCTGAAAGAGCCACCGCTGTTGAAAAACGCTGGCTATATAAATGCGTCGAAGGCCAGTCACCAGAAATTCAGGCCCTTTTCCACAAGTTGGCAAAGTATTTTAATGGAAACACACCGTTGGAGTTAACTCTCGTTCGAGAAGGAATATCAAGACACGAAGTTCGCAAGCTGACACAGGCTATCGGGAAATACTTGGTTGAGATAAATCATTGGTAAAGTGCTTTGACTGCGGTAACTGTTCTAGAATAACTCAAAGAGACTATGATAGAAGAGAATGGGTAAATGAATTAAATATGAACCTGAAATGATTCAATAATAAAATTAGGGATACTCAACGAGTGGAAAGTAATAAAAACGCTGATGACAACGACTTTCAACAACTTTCAAAGGAGTATGAAAAATTACAGCCATAAATCGTTCCGGGAGCCCCAAAGGTGTCAAAATAATAAGGAGTACGATTTCATGGAATAGAGAACGGTGGAAAATGATGTTGAACTATCCAGAAACGGCTAATAATCCAACGAAGCTCTGCTGCCATTGTTGTAATTATATTTCGATTCAACTGGCATATATTGCCGTTGTGAGACAGGTAGGGGGATCATTGGAGCCCCTAAAGCACCGGGAGATGGACCTATATGGGACATAACCATGCTGTGCATGTCTCCGAACTCGGCCGCATTAGCTGCTGGGACAGGATAGTACATGAAGCAAGGTTGATTGGGATTGGCACCAGGTCGAGAAATGCTCCCTGATGAGTTCAGAGGAGTAGCAGAGCCGGCAGTTCCAGCTGGACCCATTGCGTACTCCACGGGGTAATAGTATGACGGGTAATAGTAGGGGTCAAAGGTTGGGTAGTTTCCTCTTTTTTTGTATTCGTCAAGCTTTTTCTTGTAATTAATTCCGCCAGCGGATGTTGCATAATGCGAAGTGCTTGCGTAGCTGGAAGCATCGTTGTCATCGACAGATTCGGAGCCTTCGGAGGCATCTGTTTCTGTCGCAAACGAATGACTAGTGATGTTTTCAGCTTCATTGGCGCTAGAAGTCTCGCCTTTATCATCATTGGAACCGACGTGAGATTTGGTGATCTCAATACTCTTACGCCTGGGGTGAGATTTCAACTTCTTGGGTGCCGTCATAATTGGAATATGGCCTTGTTGCTGAGGGGATAAGACATGGAAGGTATGCATTGGATTATGATAGTTGGAATAGAATGGTGCTGAACCAGTACTAGACCTTCGTTTACCAACGTTAATGGGTGGGGGAGCTAGGTTCAAATGAGGAGGTTGGTATGGCATGCCATAGTTTTCATTCATGGGACCACTGTAACAATAGTTGTCATCGCCCAGGTGGGAGTTTCTGATAAACTTGTCACGAACATCACCGTGACGGCCTTCATTTTTATTTTGATTACCAAAATCGCTACTAGATCTGTGACCTAAATTCCCATGTCTTCTGTATTTCTTGGAGCCACCAATCTCCCGGTATTGAACATGCATGGTTTTATTTAGGAAAATGGCATGATTTTCCATTTCCAAAGCTGCTGCTGCTGCTTCCTCCGTTGCAAACCTGATGAAGGCGAAAACGTTATTAGGCTTGGATAGCAGGTTGATGTCTAGGATGGGACCATGCCTAGAAAATCTTTCTAACAAGTTTTCTTCCGTGGCCATCGGATCTAGTTGACCGACAAAAATTGAGTTTTGGTCGATGCTAATGTCTGATCCATGAGTACCAGTGGGTACACTGCTGATTTCAAAGTTTGAAGCATTGGGGGATTCATTTGGTACAGCCTCTGATTCTTCTGGAATGACCAATTCGTTATCAGAATTTAGTAAATTCAAATGAGGAGCAGCCTCAACGTTTTGAGCCCATTCGACAACCCAATTGAAATCGGCTTTGAGGGTCGCAAATGCACGAATAGCATCATCACGGAACGCGAACTGAATGAACCAAGCATTGCTCTTGTTGAAAGCGGCTTGAAAGTAATTTTTTCTGTGAGGGTATTGATCTCTGCACGCCACCAACTGCTCCAATTCTCCAAATTTACTCATCAACTGGTTGACAATGGCAGCTGAAACCAAAGCACCGGAAGCCGGTGCTGGGTATCTGCTCTTGTGGCTAAGAAACAAAGTGCGGTTCACGCGCGCGGGTTCGCAACGAATGGTTCTTCCGTTGAGAATGGTTCCTTGGGCATTGTTCAGAGCCTTTTTGGCATCTGCGTCATTGGTGTATTGTACAAAGGCGTAAGGCCTATTGGCTGGATCTCTTAGCACTTTCACCATGGTCAATTGGCCGAATTTTTTGAAGTTTTGTGTCACCGACAGACAAAGCTCGTCATCAGTGAGAGCTGCTGCAAGACTGGCGACAAAGACACACGAAGATGGCCGTCCACGGAATTTAGCAACTGCAGGATTCAATTGTTCGACAGTGTTCTCCGGTTTGCCGTTACTGGTGGTATTGGTATCTACGTCTTTGACGGTCCCTAAGGTTACATGCGGCTCGTCATGCGGGGCATCATCAACTTCTGCATCTTCTTGTGCTTCTTCTTCTATTTCCTCCTCCTCCTCCTCTTCTTCTTCTTCCTCCTCTTCTTCTTCATCAGAACCAGATACCTCTGTGGGCAGAAATTGAGCAATGCTGTAACTAAAGCCCGGGGACAGAAGCTCGTCTTTGACACTATTGGTTGGGGTATGGATCACCGACGACGAGTTTTCTAAAGCGGTAGCCATGACGTCGTTGTGGTTTGTGGAGTTGAATCGTTTCGTTAATAGTGATTTGGTTCTAACGGATTCGTATAGTTTCGTACGAGCCGGTTTAAACTGTGAACCCACAGCGAGATGGTGAAGTAAACCGGGTGTTATCGGGCAGGACTTTTCAGCCGTGGTAGTAATGAATCTCTTGCTGAAATTCGCTTGGATCAGGTGTCACTAGTGATGCCCAAAAAAATGAAAAAAGATTGGTTTTTTTTTTGTTTTGGTTTTTTTGTGCCACAAAAACACAATAACCGCGCGATGTTTCAATCGTGGTTTGCTAAAGTGTGCGATATAGGTTTTCTTTGAAGGGAGCCAATTTGAAGCAACTGGAAGCTCGATCTAAACAATGGTTAACAATAACTGAACGCACTAAATCACAGCCAAAAGACGTCTTATTACACAACTTTTAGTTAAACACAAAGTCCTCTCACAAGTCCTCTCACAAGTCTTCTCACGGATCTTCTCGCAGATCTTCTCACGATTCTCTCGTCACAATCTTTGTAGCACAAGTCTGAAACACACGTCGTGAAGTCCAAATCATTTCAGAATGGCACAACGATCTAACTTCCACAGCGACTCCCAGAGGTCCTACATATATAGTCATTTTTCTGCCCTAGTACGTGTTTGACCCTGAATCTTATGTGCTACGCCGATTGCCGCCTCGATCCCGACCTGCAACGCGTGTTTCTGAGGGGCTGTTGTCTGCAACGCCCCTCAAAAAAAACGGCGTGTCTGATCTCTCAGAAACTGCCGTGAGATATGTCACATACCAGTTTTGTTTCAGATATTTCTGCGGTGCCTTCTGTGTCAGATAAATCGGAGTATGCTCTCGACGCTATGGCGCATTAATGTTGGCGTACGTGCGCCAACTTATGCGCATGACAAGTGTAATATCATGTATTGTCATGTATCATTATGCAAGCTTCGCATGACACTGCATGATATCTGCCGATTTTAGATGACTTTCATCAAATAGGCACCGCATAGTCTGCGTATACAGCACCGTTTTTCTGCGGCTCATGCACAATGGCGGCACCTAGCTCCGAGGAAGTGGCGACAGATACGAAGCGACACGGCACAGTCTCTGTTCGAGCAAACACGTGTCGGGGTGGTTTCACCCCTTTGTGGTATGTATCATGTTTCGGCGGGTTGAAACAAGCGGATCAAGCGGATCAAGCGGGTGAACACAACACGTCTTGGAAACATGAGGTGAGGCGTTTGTGTGTGTGTGTGTGTGGTTTCAATGGAAGGTTTGCAAAATAAAGCTTTCCACTCCTCCTTTCTTCCCCTGGTGTGTGCCTCACAGAATACCATGTGAATCGCCGGAAGGGGACTTAAAGCCATACATGGGCCATTATATGAGTTTTAATTTTCTATTGAGACATATGTCGTTTTGTACGGAATGCTTGTTATGTAGAGACCTGCTGAACAGAGCATAGTGGGATCTTGCTAATGTTCACCCATGTAGACACCTTGGTGGTAGTAGCAGAAAACCTCCTTTGAATCAAGCCTATCTTCCTCGATATTACGTGGTATTCATGTAGGTCTGTCCTGTACTTTCAATCACTCTTGACGAAGCTCCTGGCACTCACCTCCAACGCACTTGGCAAACAGCTAAATGCGACATTGAGAGACACTTTCATTTCGCTTAATCAACTGTCATAGTTCGATAGTACCTAACCTTATAGATATACAAACGTCTTCCTTTTTTTTGAGAGTGGGCACACGTCCCCTCGGTTTCCTCTCTCTACTCCCACCTCGCCCTTCTAAAAGGGCAAGATGACAGGATCGGGTCCCAAAGGAGTGATACCCAATGGGTTGACTCTAGGGTGGCTTCTGGTGTAGTGGAGCTTGATATGGTCGAAATTGGTTGTCTCGTGGAACGCATCGTTGTTCCAGTAAAGATTTCTTAGCCACAAGTCCAGGTGCTTGAACCCACCTCTGACGGTAGACAAGTTACATTTAAAGTGTTGCACGTAGACCGGATCGAAACGCACGATCGTAGGGTACAACCGCACATCCGCTTCCGTCAGTTGCTCATTCAGCAAAAATAACTTGGAAGCTGCATCTTTCTCTCCATACTTGTCCACCGCTCTTTCGTAATTCACCCGTAAGATGTTCTCGAGCTTTTGCACGTGTTCAAAAACGTTAGAGACCTGCTTTTCGTACACTTCTTGCGATTCTGCAAATCCGCTCTTGTAAACGCCGTTGTTGACGTTGTCGTAGACCCAACTGTTGATTTCGTCGATCTGGGACTCCAAATCCGATGGTAAAAGGTCAATTGGCTCCACCTTAGGGTCTGCAAACTCGTCAAAGACGCCGCTATTGAAAATACGGATTATCTCTGAACTCTCGTTGTTCACGATCGTCTGGGTTTCCAGATCCCACAACACGGGCACTGTGAATCTGGCACTGTAATCCGGGTTGGCCTTGTAGTACAGTTCGCTAATTCTCTTGTAATGGTAGTTGTGGTCGATGGTGCCGTCTACACCGGGTCTTACGGAATCATTGCGGATGCCGCTGGTAGGGTTAGAATGCGTTTCGCCTGGAACCCCACTGAACCCATAGGGACTCTTGTATTCGCCCTTGGTGCTCTCCTCGTACGGCAAGAACCGCCAGCCTTGGGTGTCCATATGCCAATGAACGACAGACACACCAATAACGGACGTTAAGCCCTTCAGCGCTCTCGTGATAAGCGTCCGGTGTGCCCATGGACACGCCAGCGAAACATACAGCCAGTACCGACCCTTTGCAGGCTTGAATACCGAGTGTGAAGGCGATATAGTGTCTCTGAAAGTAGAGGCCTGTCTTTTAAAGGACCCGTCTTCTGAATTGGCCCATTTCGTTCTGTCAGTCATGATGAGGTCTAATTTTTAATGAGCTTTGTTAAGACTGTGCTTATACAATGTATTCAAACAGAGAACAAACAACAGTTAGACAACTAGCTCCGTAGCTTTAGTGAGCTGGACGCTGCTCTTTTATAGTCGTTTACAGGGGGAGCGTTTGATTATGAACGTCTTAGTAAAGACTTACGAAACCCTTACCGTGTATGTATGTGTGTGTCTCCCCTGTATTACTGCGCTGTGTAATTTTACAAATTACACACCTTTAAAATAATAGATTACGTAAACAATTTGTCATAGTCAATCACATGACTCTATGAATACACACACACACACAGAAAATACAGCTACCAATTCAAGAAGGACAATAAACGATAGACGGTGATAGCGATCAAAAAGGTCATCCTGGTTCGACGCCGTTTACTTGCGAATGTTTTTTACATGGTAATGTGCCGCTGTACGGCATGAATTGCCCGTTTTGACGTCTTTGCGTTATATGTTGTGTTTTGAAGTGGCTAGCATGGCTCAGAAATTACTATTCAAAGTTTCTGGCGTGTAAAATTATGTGGTTTACCCACAACAGTTAAGTTTGCCGTCCAAAAGCATTCTTTCACCCGACTGCAGTTCACATGTGGTTTGTGATTCTTGCGAGACGAATACGCACGCAGATCATGTTCAAGCGACTAGCAGAACAGCGCAACAACTCTGCGTTTACAACTATTTGTTACTACGATTGATGCTGCTATCGCTACTGCGATTGGAATTGCTATTGTAAGAGGATGATAAAAGAAGGGATATCTGTACAAGACCCCAGAAAACCATTTTGACATCGTGAAAAAGTCAAAATCGTATATACATTCTAGGAAAATTGAACGTTAGTTTCACTCCGCTGTCCACACCTCCAGCGCCACGGCTTTTTTTGGCAAAGGAAGTTCTATCTAAAAGTCGGAGGGTATTTTGAGATTGGTATTCGAAAGGGTAGCTGGATAAGTTGTAATTTTCAGTGAGCTCGTCGCCTTTTATAGAGCTATAGGAGAGGAAAAAATTGACATCTTGGAAGAGTCGGACGACAAGTAGTCTTATACGAATGAAGTGAAGCTCTCTTAGGGCGACACACTCTCAACACAGGGCACCCGCTGCTAATGCTATTTGTTCCCGAGAGTAGTGGAATAACTGGGTAAACGTTTTGATTATAGTTGGTTCATTATTACTTAATTTCTATGTAGAGAGGTCATTTTCATTTCGCACTTCTCAGTCCAATGGGGTGCCGTCCGTGAAGCTCTCCTCGAGGTCGTCCCAGTCGTCATCCACATCCATTTCGGTATCACCGCTTTCATGGTTAGGCAGGACTTCCAGCTGGTCAAGTTCTTCTCCGTGACCGGGTTTGAACACAACCCTGACAGTCTCCTTGTCTTTGATCTGCTTCTTCAAAATCCTGATCGCCATCCTGTTGAGGATCTCGTTCTGGATCAGGCGGTTCAATGGTCTGGCACCCATATCTTCTGAGTAGCCATTCTTGGCCAAAAATTCTTTAGCTTCTTTCGAAACGTCAAGCTTGTAGTGTTTGTCATTTTCCTCGAATCGATCCTCAATTTCCTTGAGCCGTATGTCCACAATTCTGTGAATGGCCTTGGGCGACAGCTTGTTGAAAACAACAATACTAGAGATTCTGTTCAAAAATTCGGGTCTGAAATGCTGTTTCACTGCACCCATAACCAACGTCTTGGTGGTGTCGTCAACACGAGCGCCGGATTGAGAACTCAAGAAATTGGCACCCAAGTTAGAGGTCATGATGATGATCGTATTGGAACAGTCAATGGTCTTGCCTTGTCCGGACGTCAATCTGCCGTCGTCTAGCATCTGCAACATAACTGTGAGAACATCGGGATGGGCCTTTTCGACTTCATCGAATAACAATACAGAGTATGGCTTTCTCTGCAACTGGTTTGTTAGAAATCCACCTTCATCGTAACCGACATAGCCCGCAGTGGTACCCAGTAGCTTTGAAACCGAGTACTTTTCACTCAGTTCGGAGCAGTCCACTCTGATCATGGCGTCTGCATCGTTGAACAAAAATGCAGCAATTTTCTTAGCCAATTCAGTTTTACCGGAACCAGACAATCCCAAAAACAAAAAGGAGGCTGGCTGTCTGGGGTTGGCTAGTCCCGATCTCGATAGTCTGACTGCGTTGGAAACGGCTTTGATGGCCTCTAACTGGCCCACAACTTCAGATGCGAGATGCTTTTCCATATGGATCAGTTTTTCGTTTTCCGATTCGGTCAGCTTGTTGACCGGAATACCCGTGAGTCTAGCGGCTGTTTCAGCAATGGTGTCACTATCGACAACATTCTGCACCATTGCACCGGATCCTGCGCGTCTTTCTTCTTCGGCAACCTGATTTTCCAAAGTGTCAATCTGCTTCTTCAAGTCGGGGATCGCGAAGTATCTCAAGTCTGCAGCAGTGGCTGTATCGTAACGACGCTCGGCATCTGCTGCTTTAGTTTCCAGATCTTCCAATTTCTTCTTGGCTCTGGTCAATTCTTCGTGACCCTTTTTCTCCTCGTCGTAACGCTGTCTTAGAGGCTTCAAATTCTCTTGCAAAGAAGCTTCTCTCTGTCTAGCCTGAGACAAACGATCTTTTGTAGTAGGGTCGGCTTCTTCATCTCTTTCTAGAGCTTTAATTTCCACTTGAAGAAGCTGTAACTCACGTTCCTTAGAGTCTAGCTCCTCGGGTTTCGAGTCTCTGGCCACTGCGACACCAGCGCATGAAATGTCGACCAGATCTAGTGCAGAGTCAGGTAATCTTCTGTATGGTAAGTACCTTTTACCTAACTGAGCGGCAGTGACAAGGGCACTATCCAAAATTCTTACACCGTGGTGAATTTCATACTTCTGTTGTAGCCCTCTCAGAATAGCAACTGTCTGCCTCACGGTGGGTTCTTGAACATCGATCTTTTGGAATCTTCTCTCGAAGGCACCATCTTTTTCGACAATGGCACGGTACTCGTTGTTGGTGGTAGCTCCGATGACCTTCAATTGGCCCCGCGATAGAGCTGGTTTCAAGATATTGGCAGCATCGTCCTTTCCGTTTCCCATTAACATGTGGATTTCATCGATGAACAGAACAATGAGGGTCTTAGACTGTTCGATTTCCTTCAGCACACCCTTGAGTCTTTCTTCGTAGTCACCCTTGTATTTGGCACCGGCAGTCAAGGCGGCTAAGTCCAAACTGAATAGTTTAGAGCCGAACAGAATGCTTGGCACGTCGTCATCGATGATTCGCTGTGCAACACCCTCTATGATCGCTGTTTTACCGATACCGGGCTCACCAATTAGACAAGGGTTGGACTTGATTCTACGGGCCAAAACACGGATTGTACCTCTAATCTCCTCTTCTCTACCGATGACCGGGTCCAGTTTACCCTGGCGGGCCTGTTCCGTCATATCGATAGCATATTTTGAAAGGTACTCTAGGGCCTCGTTAGTGTCTGCGCCGCGAGAATCTATTTTTTGATTACCACGAAGCTCAAGAGCCTGTTGTTTTACGGCTTCAATCTGTACTGCCGCTTCTTTGAAAATCTCTTGGATGCTCGAATTTTGGAGTAGAGCGAAAAATAGGTGGTCCTGTGCGATAAACGAGTCTTTCTGTTGTTTCTGGATCTTGGCAGCTTCTTGCAAAACTTGACCCAAGCTATAGCTTGGAGAGATTTGAGAAGGCGCTGGAGTTTGCTGAGGAATTCTCACGAGATGCTTGTTAACACATCTGCGGAATGCGTCGTAATCGTATCGAGCCTTCTCGATCAGATTCTGCAAATAGGACTTCGATCCATCTTCTGGGGTTTCCACGAAAGCTGCTAACAGATGCACAGGTTGTAGCTGTGCGTGCTGGTGATCTTGCGCTAATTTTTGAGCAACGGTCAAAATGCTCAATGCCTTTTCTGTAAATTGCGTTTGGTCGTCCATCTTGGATATTAGGATTAGTGACAATCAAATTGTAGGATGAGTTCTTGTTAGTCCTGAGATGAACTTTCTGCAAGAAAAATGAAGTAAATGTGAAAATGAATGCTGCTCAAAATTCCCTCTTATTTATACCCGACAATTGGATTAGAATCTCGTAATGACAAGCTCCGTGGTCGTGAGTGGTTTATTCCAGCGTGTACCGGATAAATCTAGCACCATCCTTAATTTCAGAGATTTTTCTCGTATATACTAGAAAATCCGTGCATTATTGTCATTTTGTACGTATGTGTCGTCGAAGCAGTGACAAGGTAACGACGCTATAGGTTGACCAGGGTTCAGTAGAGGGAGGCTCATATCGTATTCTGTTGATAGAATTAATATTCTAATTGGACAACATGCTTATTCTTCACGTTAAAGCGAATTGGCGTTCTTGTATTTCGTGACACCATGAGTTTTCGGTAAGAAACTTACCGTTTTCCCGCATCACCACCGTGTGGCCATACCAAAACTATTCATAACTGATGATTTATTCTGGGGTATAGCCAAGGACAACTTTAGCAGATATTGCACAATCGCTGTTGAAATCTGGTCAAGTTACTTCTGATGGCAATTTTTGAGATCTTAAAACGAGCTTGGACCAGAGTCTGGATTCAGAATCATTGCGTTTTTTTGTTTCCGAAGAATTGATATTTGCCTCAACGGAGTGGAACGATTGCTGATAGCCTTTGTTTGTTTTGCAGCAAGTCCCCAAAGCTACTAAGCGATTGAGTAACAATTAATTATATCGAATGTCATTATTGATGAATGTAATAATAAAACAGATTAATCATATGGCTTGGACAAGTAAGTACAACGAAGAATCTCTTGCAAGCAGCCTTAATGCCCTCTTAATGGATGCCAATCTAGCCTTGGAGCCTATGAAGCTCGCCCTGTGTCTGAAAAAGAATAGTTAATCTCATAAATAAATAAATAATTTGTTAAATATCTGCGCGCACTTCTGCGCTTAGCTGCCCCGTCTGTCCTTCTGTTAGAACACAAGTTAAACCATGAAACTCTCACCACATCCGCAGGTTCCCTTCGAATTTGGATTTTTAAACACAAACCTAGACGACAACCTATCGTCGATCCAGTCCATCTCGCTCCCCACTATGCTGAATAATGCTTTAGAATCTATCACCACTTTAACGCCGTCTTGCTCCACCACTTCGTCGAACTTCCCTGGTGCCGTTATGAACTCCAAGTCGTACGTCAGGCCCGAGCAACCTCGGTTTTTCACGCCTATTCTGATCAGCTGTGGTTGGGGCTGGTTCAGCAATAGTTTCAAATGCAATAGAGCGTTAGGGGTGAGAGATATCAGCGCCTTGCGTGGTCTCAATTTTCTCTTTGGTTTTTTAGTTTGTTCTGTGCGTTGTGCCTCGATTTGGGACCCGAGTTTCTCAGCACCTTCCTTGATATGACGATCAGCTTCTTCATGTTTCTGTTGCAAAAGCGCCTCTTTAGAGGGCATAGAGTAAGTAGACCATTTGGAGGAGCCGTTATTGGACTCTGATGGACCACTTTGTTCGCTTTGGCCCCTCACTTGCTTTGCACTGTCGTTTTTGGGGGGACCAGTCTTGAATTTGAAGCTCCATCTTTCTGGACCTGCACCATCTAATACTCTGTGAGAATGGTTTGTCTGCATGTAGCGTCTAATTCCGTCATTGGTAGAGCTCAGGAGCCTAAAATTAATTGCTTGCTGTGTAGAAGTTTCGAGCTGCACTTTACGGCAGGCGATATATCTCGATGCTGGCAGTCGGCCAAGATTTGACACAGTTTGACCACTCCTCATAATGACTGAGAGTACAGCAGCCGAAGGGTGATAACTTGACTGATTCAAGTATAAACGGGTTACTTTGCCGTCGTTTAAATTCCTCCTTTCCAGCGTATTGCGAGAGGTTGCTAACTCTTGTCAGACAAATCATTAGCTTTCATTTTACCAATATTAGCTGAACCAGGACTGGGGAAGAGTACGAGTAAAATCACGAGAGCACGTGTGAAATGACGAGTACAGCCTCGAAGAGATTTATTCAACTCCAGCGCTACAATGGAGCTCTGTGAGCTCAAGATTCACCACTCTACTGATAATAATAAACCATTATTTAGACAACTCCAACTTGCTAGTCATTGGAAATGTAAAGCCTGATTATGGGGCTATGTGACTGGTATTTTCGGTGAGCATCGTGCGACGCCCGCCGCAGTAAACTAACCATGTTATACAGGTCTACACGTGGTCCAAAAATCTACTCGAGTCTACTCTTCCTCAGTCCTGTGCTGAACCGTGGCCAGGTAGTATTTATATAGGAAGACTGTCATATTAGAGTTCATTGTCTCTAGAGAAGGCGATAGTGATAAACGACACAATACAGAGAAGAAAAGCTTCAAGAAAACACTCAACGGTAACTCAATCTTAATCGACGACTACGGTATGAACCTCGATTGAAAATTCTATCAAGGCGCTATATACAGTTTCGTGTGGCATTTTCAGCGTTTTTTTTTTTTCGTAACTTGTAGTATTATGGGCCCTCCCGGTATCCCGACAAACTGAATCATTACCATGCAAAAAATAAATACTCTCTCCACTTATTAAACCTACATGTATTTCGCTACGTGGCCATATCCTAAGTACCAGTTAAAAATCACAACTGTGCGGTTTCACGCTTGAGCCATCTGTATGTTATGCTCTGAGGTTGAGTGAAAGGGACAATGCTGTGCCAGATTAGGTTGTGATATGCGTTGATCTGAGCCTTTTCCTCCGGGGTCAACATCTTTTCGTTGATGAGCTTCCTGCAGTAAGGCACCAGTGTAAGGTTCTTGAATTTTAAGAATTGACGCTCGCCGAATTTAAGGCCTTCAGCTTTTTCCACCAACATGTCGTTTTCTATGCGAATACCATACTCACCGTCTTTGTAAAAGCCGGGCTCATTGGTTATGATGTTGCCGGATTCAAGCGGGAAACTTTGCAAATTTGGCCTGAAGCCGATGCCGATGGGACCCTCGTGAACGTTCAAGAAGGATCCAACACCATGTCCTGTTCCGTGCCTGTAGTCTAGGCCCTGTTGCCACAGAAACTGTCTTGCTATGACGTCGATGTTGAAACCGGACGTACCCTCAGGGAACGTTAGTCTTTCAAGCGCTAAATTACCCTTGAGTACCAATGTGTACTTTTCTATCTCCTCTGCTGAGGGTGTAGTAAAGTGAAGGGTCCTGGTGATGTCAGTGGTGCCCTCTATAAACTGGGACCCACTGTCACACAAGTAGATGCGGCTGGGGTCGATCATTGCAGAGTTTTCCTCTGGGGGCGCATAGTGTATTATGGCGGCGTTGGCGCCGGTCGAAGAAATAGTCTCGAATGAATTGCCCATGAAATTTCTTTGAGTTTTCCTAATCTCTAAAAGCTTGGTAGCGGCCCGGTACTCATCGATCAGGGCCTCTTTAGCAATCAATTGATTTTCTAGCCATGCAAAAAATTGGACTAAACAAACCGCATCCTTCACTTGAGCGGCATGTGCGTTGGAAATCTCCACGTCGTTTTTTACAGCTTTGAAAAGCTCCAAAGGTGACTGAATCTGTCTATAATGAGTGTCACCTAGGGTGCGCACAATTTCCCAAGACGATCCAGAAGATATGGCAATTGGATCTCTAGTCTTGGAGTATGCTGTTGCCAGCGATGACAAATGCGACCATATCTGGCCATAAGGTTCCACCTTGATAAGATTTGTCTCAAAGTATTCCTTTATTTTATCGTCGTAGGGATCATCCGTGAAGAGAATGGTTTCGTCACCGCGAAGCAGCAGGTACGAGTAAAAAACAGGGTTATACTGAATATCGGAACCTCTCAAGTTGAGAAGCCAACAAATTTCATCCAAGGTAGCGACACAAAACGTCTTGCAGTTTGGTGTCTTCTCATGCAAGTAGTTCAAGACCCGTTGTTTTTTGTCCTGGAAAGTCTCGTTTGTGTAATTTGAGTTCACCAACAGTAAGTCATTGGAGTCTCTAACAGGAACGGGTTCAAAATAGCCCCAAATCTCATCCACTAAATTCTTTTGAACTGGCACCAAACTCACGGTGGCCTTGGTGTCCTGAGTCTTGTCTCGTATCAATTTCTGAATTTTCACCACCTGGTCGTAGCTGATTACTTTTGGGTCGATACCGATCTTGGCCTCCTTCCCTCCAAGCGCTTCAGACATGTCTATGGCTAAGCGGACACACCACTCTGGCCATGTCAACGTATCTTCGCCCTGTCTGAGAAGAGACCAGTTAAAGTCAAGTTCTTGTGAAGCTTGATTGAAATACCGACCATCAGTGCTGAGAATAGATTGTCCCTCTGGGTCGTTGTCGTTGAAGTTGAGGAGATCCCGGGAAATGCAGGCCACCCCAGCGGAGCCAGTAAACCCGGAAATGAACGACCTTCTCTGGTCTGCAAGCGACACATATTCGCTTTGGTGTTCATCCTCACTCGGGACGATGTAGCAACACAAATCGTTTTCTACCATTTTCCTTCTCAGATGCAGTAGGCGTTCTGAAGTGTTGACATATTTGGATTGACATATGGTATCTGACGAATAGATTGAATCTCTGCTTGAGCCAGTCGATCGCATAGAGGGTCTTTTGCGCGAACCTCCCAGCTGTCTCAAAAGCATTGACGACTTTCTATTTTGGCGCGACAGAAGACCTGGCGAGCATGTACAGTTAGCACAAGGTCTGCCAGGTCTTCCCTGTGATACGACTGGACTGCCACCACTGTAAATACCATTCATCGTTGGCAAAGAGCTTTTCAAATTCAAAGTCGAATTTTGGGTCATCATTTTGGACCGTGAACGACAAAACGTAAAGGTTGAAACCGTTTGCTATTTTGCTGCTACGGGAAAATGTGTATTTTGGTGATACAAAACGACCTTGTTGTGACTTGAGTTAAAAGTTCAGTTTTCGGCTTGGTTTTGTAAGTTAATGGGTGCTTAGTGGTAGTTGGTGGGTGAGAGAGTTGGTCCTATTTTTTCCAGGGTGCAGTTCTTGTACGTCGGAGGACGATTTTAAAGCAAGATGGTCGTAGAAAACGATTAAAATTTTGGTGGCGTGACTTGGATGGCGCTACTGTAGACTTTGCAGTTGGGTAGTTTGACTTTTATCAATGTATCGAGAGGTGAACACCTGTAGAAATCTTAAGTTTTGCGCTGTGGCTGTAGTTGTGTACATGTCCTGTGAGAACTGAATTTCGAAATTTACTGACATGCATCACGTGACGGTGCGCGTTGTGCCAAGCTTACGATCTTGGCACAGTGAAGAGCGAAACGAAGCAGGAATTGGGAGAGGCTTGGAAGGTGACGCAGTGGATCGATCGGTGGATACGTCCACTTGAGCAAGTAGATTTCCCCGGCATGGGGGGGGGGGGGGGGG